TCAATTATATTTCAATGAAAACAGCAACAAAAACCAGTGCCTACTCCCCACCCCTGCCCTGTTCACCTTCTACCTCCCCTGCAATCCCATCCTTTCCCTCCCTTTCTCCCCCACTATCTCCTCCCCTGCCTCTCCCTTTCCTTCCCTTGACCTCTCCCCTCCCCTCTCCTGCTCTTTCCCCCCCCCCCCCCCACCCAGTGTTGGCTCCAGGTAAAAGCAGAAGATAATCTCCAGGCCCCACCTGTTCCTGCACCTTTGATCCAGGGCCTGGAAAGCTCCCCACCTCCCCAAGGTGAACTCCTCTCACCCTGCAGAGTTCAGCCCTGGTTGTACTTACTCCCAGCTCACCTCGACCTCTCTGATGTGTCACTGTGTCATCTACTTAGCCACTGGGTCACCAGGACACAGTTGTGCTTGCTGGAGCAACTTCAGTCTCGTTTACCAATCTCCAGACTCCGGGAGGGTGCCAACTTGCCCTGCAGTGTCTACACCTGCTAGGTGTGCAGCATGCATTTTCAACAAATGATGACTCTACAGCAAGGCAGGTGTGAAATGGCAGAAGGTGTGGGCTTCAGGACCAGAACCGCTGGCTCTCCATGGGCAGCGTAACGTTTGGGTAACTTACTCTCTGAGCCTCAGCCTCTTCATCTGTGAAGTTAAAGGGGACAATGAGCAGCTCTCTTGGGGCTGCAGTAAAGATGAAAGGGAGATCTTCAGTCAAGTCCCAGTAGGCAGCTAACACTGGAACTCACTCAGCATCCAAGTCCCTTCCACGCTCATTTGCATAGCATTGTAGAGCTGTCAATTAGTCTTCATGATTTCTTTTTTTTTTAATGTTTGTTTTTGAGAGAGACAGAGAGAGACAGAGTGTGAGCCGGGGGGGGGGGGGGGCGGGGGGTGGGCAGAGAGAGAAGGAGACAATCCGAAGTAGGCTCCAGGCTCTACACTGTCAGCACAGAGCCCGACGCAGGGTTTGAACCCATGACCCACGAGTTCATGACCTGAGCTGAAGTCAGTGGCTTAGCCGACTGAGCTACCCAGGTGCCCCCTAGTCTGCACGATCTCATAGGAAATGTGATTTTACACATCTATATAAAGACTTAGGACTGGCCATGAGCAGACCTGAGCTCCTCTTCCAGTTCTGCCAGTACCTGGTTGTATGACATAAGGTCAGAGTGACTCTGATCCTCCCTGTCTTAATCTTCAAGGTCAAAAGTTTGGACAGGATTGAACCTCCACCTGGCAGGCTCCGCCCTTACAGCTCTGGTTGTGCTTCACACCTGTGTTATTATTTGCTTATTATACTTTAACAGTTGACTTCAAAAGAAAATGTTCTCTCACTCCTGTAAATATCATATGTAGGAGGTAACAACAACCAGTAGAAAGAAAACAGAACAGTGTTACGGACTTCTCTTGCCAAATACTACTTACCATCTGCCTAGGCTCAGAGTCTGAGGCACTTAGTGACTTTGTGGAGAAAGGAAGTTCCCACTTGCTAGAGGTGGGAACAACATGGTAGCACTCAAACGAGACATTCTACACTGCCTCAGCGGGCCATAGGCACTGAAAGGGCACAAGTGAGTCAGTGTCCTTTGGTGCCATGTGTGGGAGTACACACCTCAGCCGTCGGGGGTACACCCGTTCCTCACTTTGGAAAACACTGGACTCGATCATAGACCCGGAAGGGACCTTAAGGGTCACTGCCCCCCACCTGTCCTTCAGCAGATGAATGAGCCGGGCCAGGTGTGGAAATGGCTGCCGGCGTCCTTGACCCCCACAGTGTGAGATCTGTGCCTGGCTATGCTTGTGCAGTGGCCGAAAACTGAAACACGGAGAGCTCTGCCAGGTGGCCGGGGAACCCCCGCCCCAACCACGACCAAGCCACGTACAAACTGCCACTATAGCCAGTGGACTATAGCAGGGCTTGTATTTTAAGCTCAGTCCTGATATCTGTGAGTGTTTTTGGTTTTATAGAACAAGGTATGTCACTTGCAATAACCTCTAGTCCCTTCGAAACACTCAGGTTCCTCCAAAGCACTTTGTTTGATCTGTTTGATCCTGTTCTTTCATGTTGGTGAGAAGTGGTAGGGCCTCTGGGTGGTTCAGTCTTGATCTGACTTCTGTTCAGGTCATGATCTCACGGTTTGTGAGTTTGAGTCCTGCATCAGGCTCTGTTCTGACACTGCAGAACCTGCTTGGGCTTCTGTCTCTGCCCCTTCCCTGCTCATGCTTTCTCTCTCTCTCTCTCTCTCTCTCTCTCTCTCTCGAAATAAATAAACATTAAAAAAAAAAGTAGTGGTAATACCTATGGAATGAACACAGCTAGTGCCATTCAGAACCTCGAAGGAATTTAGGGTGTAGATTATACATACTTCTTTAAAAAAAAAAAAACAGCTCTTTTGAAGTATAATTGATATACAAAAATCACTGGACATATTTACTGGTGCAATTTGATTGGTTTGGAGATATGAATAAACCTGTGAAACCACCACAAATTAAGGTACTAAACATCTTTGATAAAAATAAAAATTAAAAAATAAATACTAAATAAAAACAAACAATAAACATTTATTTCCTAAAATAAAAAGCTTCGCTCTGCCCCCTTCCACATTTTTGATGGTAAGAACATTCAGCGTAATGTCAGCTGAGGGCTCATAATACATGGCCTTAATTATGTTGAGGTGGATTATACTCGTCGAGGTTTTATAATCAACACAGAAGAATGGTGGACAGCAGGGGCACCTGGGTGGCCCAGTGGGTTAAGCCTGAGTTAAGCTAAGTCAGACTTCAGCTCAGGACATGATCTCGCAGTCTGTGAGTTCAAGCCCTGCATCGGGGCATCCAGGCTGACAGCTCAGAGCCTGGAGCCTGCTTCAGATTCTGTGTCTCCTCCTCTCTGTGCCCCTCCCCCACTCATGCTCTGTCTCCCTCTCTCTCTCAAAAATGAATAAATGTTTTTAAAAAAAGGTGGACAGCAAACAAAATATGTGGTTCAACGTGGAGATTTTATTAGATTATAAAGAAGCTTAACACCATAAAACACCGTGTTTTAAGTCCTGATCTTAAAAACAAAAGAGTTTATTGTGGAAGTTACTTGGGAAGAACAAGACAAGATCTTACAGACACTGGAGGGTTTTTCTTCTTCCCCTTGCTAGATTTGTCCTTGAATTAAATCCCTTTGCTTCTTCCCTTGATCCTAGTCACCTTCCCTTTCCTAAGATAAATGGATAAACCAAGCTAGTTGTTCTCAGCTTTGGCCATAAATTAGATTACCTGGGAGCTTTAGAAACCCTGAGGCCTCAGCCACACCCCAGACCAGTGAAATCTGTATGTCCGGAGTCGGATCAGGGACCTACGGGCCACCAGCATGGCGAGCACTGCTCTGCTCCGCAGGTCCCAAACTTTGGTGCTGCCCTCCCTCACAAGACAATAGCTGTACATATCAAAGCTCTGTGGCTTTACCCTTGACATTCTTACTCGATGCCAGCAGGACAGTTTGTTAGCTAAATACCTGTTAATCCAGTTCTCCTGACGCTTTGTATAAGAGAGGCCAAGATTCTCCCCAGGATCACTATCACCTTAATGCTAATCTGAGAAACAGCTGCTTGTGAACTCCAGTGGAGGTAACAGCTCAGGCTCACAGTGTTCTGGGCATTGAGTAACTCCCACAAGGTCACAGGGAGCAAGTGAGGTTCTGGGCAAGTGAGCAAACTGATGGGGGGGGGCGGGTGCTATTAGGCACTAGGAATCCAAATCTAGTAAGTCCAGTGGGAAAATAAGCTGGAACCACCAGATCCCTCCCCGTGATCTTACTGGAACACACTGGCTTCCGTCTTTACAAATTCCTCTTGGAGGAAGCCAAGCATCTGCAACCAAAGGCGAACCTGTAGCATCTGCTGAAATGAGTTAGTTCAGAAAATTCAAATGAATGTTGCAACTGTTAAGCACTAAGCCCACCGGACCATGTCTGTACATTCTTTGGGGTTCACTGGTGCTAAAAATGACATGATGAAAATAAGTAGGGAAACTCCAGTTACCTTACATGCGAGGTCATCAGGGATCTTGTTCTGCCTCCTCCCTGGTCTCACCAATAACTTCATTCAATCAATCACCCATTCAGTCGTTCATCCCAGTTATCAAATATTTACCGTGCGCCTGCTGTGTGTAACGCATTGGGCTAGATGCCGGTGATCCAGTAGAGAAACGGCTCTCAAAAGCTTACCGCCCACTCAGAGACGTGAACGAGGAAAAAGGACTTGCTTCCTGCACCAGAAAAGTGACTTTCTCCATTCACAGTCGCCCTGGCTGATCAGCGGGCCCACTGTGCACTCAGCGTTGTGGGATGGGTGCAGGTGCCTGGGCTGACCAGGGCTAGCACTGCGGCATCGGCCGCCGGCCCCAGACCTGTGGCCCTTGTCCAGAGGACTGGTGTTAACTGGTTGGAGAGGCTTCTCTTCCCCTGTAGCAAAGCCTACAGGACACCGATTAGTTGCCAGAATGTGCTTGGTGAACAGAGATGCAGGATAAACCGGGGGTCTGTTGGGGTGAGAGGCTGGCTGGGTGGATGTCTGCTGCGGGGACCAAATACACATTTTAATCTCCTGATGGATTTGAAATATAGCCTGGTTGCCTGGAAGGCTTGGAGTACCCTCTGGGGGTTATTTTTATGTCATCTTTTAGGTGGGTTTCTCTCCTACCTGTGATACTCTCTTCCAAGATAAGTTAATGCTTACTAGTGTCAAGGGGTGATGTTTGTGACCTTGTACCAAATGCTGGGTCTTTCCTGAGCGCAGGTGGGGGTGGGGGAGGGGGGGTATTCCTTCCAGGTGAAAATAACTAAGCTTCAAAAGGCTTGTGGCTGATATGACCTCACATCTAATGTTATAAATCCAGCGCTTGAATCAGAATCAGAACAGGTTTCTTCTGAATTCTGATTGAATACTTTTTCTCTTCTGCCCAAGTGAGTTTAATTTCTTTCTCTTTCACTGTTTCTTTAATAGGGGTTCAGCTGTTGCAAAAATAATTGGTAATAATGTCAAGAAACTTAAGAAGTTTGCCTCCACAGTCAAGATGTGGGTCTTTGAAGAAACTGTTAATGGGAGAAAACTGACAGACATTATAAATAATGACCATGAGAATGTGAAATATCTCCCTGGACACAAGCTGCCAGAAAATGTGGTAAGACTTTGGAATCGATAGTATTTTTTGGTCAGTTCTGAAAGTTACGCTTGGCTGAGTTCATACGTGGGGCTTAGGGAAATGGGAAAGCTACCTGCCTCCCTCCCTCCCTTGTTCGTTTCTACCACCAGTGTCTTGGCTTGGTCAGTTTTGGTGTGCCTGCCTCTGAAGATGGGCTTTCTATTAGTTTTCTAGGGCTGCCATAAGAAAGTACAATAGGAAATTTGACTTCAATGACAGAAATTTATTTTCTGGAGGGTTCAAGTCCAAATGAGGGTGTCACCTGGTTTGGTTTCTCTTCTGAGGCTCTCTTTGACTTCTACATGGCCGCCTTCTTCCTGTGGCTTCACATGGCCTTCCTTCTGTGTGTCGGTGACATTATCTCCCCTTCTTACGAGGACACCAGTCATGTTATATTAACATATTAGTCACTCTAATGATCTCATTTTAATGTAATTACTTCTGCAATAACCCTGTCTTTAAATACAGTCATATTCCGAGGTGCTAGGGTTAGGAATTCAACATATGACCTTTGGAGGGAGAGGACACAATTCAGCCCATAGCAGGCTACTTTGTTGGCATTCAAAACGTTGGTCCCATCAAAGCTGGAACTAACAACCTTTGCCGTCGGCCACTTGCGATGCCCCAGTCCTGATATCCCCTTTCTAAGTGCGTAGACTTTGATTTACTCACGAGGACAGCTAATGCAGCGGTCTGTAATTAAAATCAGGGTCAAGGCCTAAATTACATGAGGAGATTGGAGAAAATAGAAAATTTTAAGACTGACAGTTTAAAATTCAAGCTTATTAGGCCAAGAGGGAAGAATACAGGTAATTGCCTGGCCTCATTCCAGTGACTTCCAGGAAGCGGGGGAGGAAGAAATGAGCAAAAGGAACAAAAGCGTGTACTGTGCTGCTAGTCTGAGGTGCGTGAAATCTGTGCCGGATTCACCCCTTTGGTGGTTTTCTGTAAGCGTCTGAAAACCAGACCATTGTGACTGCCTGGCTCCACCCCGCCTGATTCTCTGGTTAACCAGACAAACTCATCTACTTTGCGAATGAAATCCTCTTCCCTGTGCATACTCATTTATCAGCCTTTTTGAGCGAGCGTGTACGTGTACAGAGCACGCAAAGCACAGCGGCAGTTGCCAGAGACAGGAAGGGGGAGTATGATGACCGCTCCCCTCCAGGAGCCCAGCAGGGGGACAGATCTGTACACTGATGAATGCCAGGAAGTTCAGAGATGCAAAGACCTTGCTCACTGAAGATTGTTGTTTGGCCTTTTTTTTTCTTCCAATTTATTTTGAGAAAGAGAGAGAGCATGAGTAGGGGAGGGGCAGAGAAAGAGTGGGGGGAGAGAGAGAGAGAGAGAGAGAGACCCTCCCCCAAGCAGGCTATGGGCTGTCAGAGCAGAGCCTGATGTGGGGCGCCATCTCACAACCCGTGAGATCCTGACCTGAGCCAAAATCAAGAGTCAGATGCCTAACCGACCAAGCCACCCAGGCGCCCCTATTGTTTGGCGTTTGGTTATGGCGTTTGGTTACAGGGTATATCCGTGTCAAGCACTGTGCTAAGTAGTTTATATATCTTGTCTCATTTAATGCTTTTGGTAATCCTCTTAGGTTGATACTATTAGTTTTCCTATTAGAGCGATGATTCTGATTTTATGGTGGAAGAGACTGAGGCTCAGAGAAGATAATGAGCTTGCTCAGGGTCAAATGGCTACAGGCTAGGGTTTGATTCCTGGTGGACACATCCTGTTGGATCCATTGTCTTTTGGACAATGAGAACTTTCTCCTCTGTGTCACTGCGCGGGGCCCAGGCGGTTATTCTTGGTGTTGCTGGCAGGCAGAGGAAGGAGCCCTACGGTTCTGAGCTCAGAAGTTAAGTTGTCCAAATATCCGAGGGGAAGAACAAAGGGGGCAGCTGTTCCCACTGCAGTGGAAGGCCTCTGAGGTCATCTCTGACCCATGCCTGGAGTAGGAAATTCCTGAGTTTCACTTCTCATTCTTGCCAGATCGATGGCTCCTTCCCTTCTGTAAACCACATGCTCTCTTGGTACATTCCTTCCACTGTGCTTTGTGCCAGGCCCTGATGTACCTGTTCATTCCCCAGTGCTTGAACCTGACTTTCTAGTTTTCTGCTCTTGCAGTTCCTGGTGCAGTACTGAGGGAGTGTTGGGGGAGGGGAACCTGCCAAGTAGTCCTGTGAAGCTGAAGCCTATACCAGGAGCATGGGAGCCAGGAGGGAGGAGGAGGAAGGGAAGGAACTGACCTAGAGGAGTCAACAGCCATTGCCACTCAGAGCCCGACCCCCACACTGATTGATTCCACCCTAACCCTAACCCACATCTCTGTGTGTGGACAGAGGAGGAAAGGAGGAATCAGTTACTCCCAGGACTCTGTTGATATCTGAAGCCTTGTAGGTTCAAGAAAGTGAACGTATGCATTCTCCTGTATGGACATTTGGATGGTTTCCAGTTGTTTGCTGTTATGGACGGTGTTCGTAGGGGTGGGGTCACAGGGTCACTGGGAACACACAACTATAATTTCACTGCATCACGCCACTGGTTTCCAAAGTAGTTGTACCAATCTGGACTCCCCCAGCATGTTGGAGGATTCACATTTTAAGAGAATGTTTGTGTATTTATTTTGAGAGAAAGAATGAGTGCCAGTGGGAGAGGGGCAGAGAGAGAGGGAGACAAAGAATCCGAAGCAGGCTGCAGGCTCTGAGCTGTCAGCACAGGGCTCGAGCCTACAATCTGTGAGATAATAACCTGAGCCAAAGTCAGATGCTTAACAGACGGAGCCACCCAGGCGCCCCTCGTACATTTGCTTTTTGACAAGTTCCCAGGTGATGGTGATGCTGTGGCTTCATGAACCACCCTTTTGGACACCACCGGTCTACATGATTTCATATTTACAGGTGTAGTATTGGGGAATCCAGGCAGTTATCAGTTGCGTTTCTCGAGAAGCAGCCTCACTTACCAGCAGTGGTATATTTATGTAATACCCATCAGATAAGGTCGTCTGTATCTTAAGAATCATTTTTCTGAATGTAGAGCCAAGGGTATACGTTTCACTTACGATCTTGACCAAAGCATGGATTAGAAGAACAGGAGGGAATCATAATATTTTTCAACCTCTGCTCTGTGCCGGCTATAACTTTGCTACGTGTGTTACTCACATGCTGTTGTGTTTAATCTAAATACTCACTCCTTCAAGAATGTAGGCGAGTCCCCTACGGGTGTCCAGTTAGCTAACTGGATCGAGCCTGGCCAGGGTGTTCATATACTATATAGTGATAACTAATCTTTTGGATACGAATCCAAAAGAACCATTAGGCTTCTCCATATACATTTTACCAGCTCTGTCTTAAATGATTTTATATATAGTACTGTACAGTATATGAGGGGTATGTGTGTGTGTGTGTGTGTGTGTATAAAATCATGGACCAAGAGCCCAGGATCCCTGAAAGTCTGAACATTATGTGGACCAACCATGATGCCTTGGTTCCGACTTGATTATTTTTCCTCCTTACCTAGGAAAGACAAGCCCTCTTGTTCTGAGTTGTCTTTCTGAATGTATTTCAGGAGCTTTCAGTGGCTACCCTCAGAAAGATTTTGACAGAAGGCCTGCAAAGTAGGTCAGCATTTCTGAAGGTGTTGTGTGATTTTGTTGAGTGTAAAAGATAGGCAAAGTCTTGGCTAAAGGTTTTATTCTGCAAGAGGGTATTCCAGTTACTGGGTTAGTTTAGGAGAGCTCTTTTGATACCGTATAAGAGGAATAGTGTTCTGTGAATGGACCGTATGTACCATACAAATACAGCTCGTATTTCACATTGCTCCTGAGGGCTAAGCCCTCAGCTCTCCACCGAAGAGAGTGGAAGAATGTCTGTGCGTGCTGAGTCCCCAGTTCTTTGTTCTAGAGACCCGTCACATTCTCAGCCACCAACAAGGTTGTTTGATTTATGGAAGAAGGAAATGTAAGAGACAGAAGGAAATCCAGACCAGCTGGTGGCTTCCTTGAATGTCTTTTAACAAGGGACACAGGATGGGTGGACTCTTTAATGTATGAATTTGGGGCATCTGGGTGGCTCCGTTGGTTGAGCATCCGGCTCCTGATTTCAGCTCAGGTCATGATCCCAGGATCATGGGATCAAGCCCTGCATTGGGCTCCATGCTGAGTGTGGAGCCTGCTTGGGATTCTCTCTTGCTCTCTCTCTCTCCCTCTGCCCTTCTCCCCTACTCTCTCTTCCTAAAATTTAATAAGTAAAGAAATAGGAAAGAATTCGTGGGAAGCAGGTAGATTTTTTGATAATCTCTTTCATTTGTTTCATATCATTTTGAAGTGCTGTCATTTATGTTATTTAATTTGAAGGCTCTCTGCGAAGTATCTGGGTAGGAAAAGTGATTTTTATACCTCTTCATATATGGGGTGATGAAGGTCAGTGAAGATACATCACAAGTCGAAGGTCACACAGCTGATCATTTGCAGATACGGGATTCAAATGTACGTCTTTTCCATGTTTTCTCTTTGGTTCTGGTGTCTTTTCCATTTCACCATGTTGGGAAATGCCCTTAAGAGGCGAAAATGGAGGTGCATGCACATGTGCATGTGCGTGTGCGTGTGTGTGTTGAGGATAGAAGGGGAAGAGGAGGAGGAACCATAGGTCTAGAGAAGAAGAAAGAGTTTAACTAAAACTCAGGCTGCCAGGCACCGTATGAGAGTGTACCGAGTAAAAATCCTCGCCTAAGTAAGGCTGGTAACACAAGGCGGAGTGAAGGGTCAGAGTTTAAAAAAAATTTTTTTTACACTTACTCACTTTTGAGAGACAGAGAGAGGACAGAGTGCGAGCGGGGGAGGGGGAGAGAGAGGGAGACACAGAATCTGAAGCAGGCTCCAGGCTCCAAGCTGTCAGCACAGAGCCCGACTTGGGGCTCAAACCAACGAACCGTGAGATTATGACCTGAGCCGAAGTCGGACGCTTAACTGACTGAGCCACCAAGGCGCCCCAGGGTCAGAGGTTCTACGAAGGCTGGAAGGGGATTGAGTGGAACCACATGCAAATATAAGGGCATAAAGAGAGTTGTCAGTAAAGGATGGAGCAGCTGGGAATTGGCATCGGGAGGCAAAGGAACAGAACAAGAAATTGCTCCTTTGGAGGAGGTAGAAACTCCAGATGCAAGGGAACTTGACCTATGCAGCCACAGGGGCTGCTGGGAAAGGTAGTCCCTCACCAGGTGCCCCGTGAGCAGCTTCCAGCTCTGTGATTATGGAGGAAGGCAAGAGGAATTTTGGCGAGGAGTTGGCGGTCTCCATCACAACGCCCAAACTCGGAGGCTTAGCCATCCCGAATTCCCGAATGATGCTCCCGTGGCGGCTAGCACTTCCTCGGGGAAGACTCTTCCTCCAGTCCTTCATTTTGGGAACTGGGAATGCTTGATGGGAATATCAGTTATAGTCCGGTTCAGGTACATGTGACAGAAAACGTGTCATAGCAGTGACCTAAGCATAGTAAATGTTTGCTTTTCCTTGTCTTGCGTGAAAGAGGTTTACCGTTTCAGTGATGTATTAATGGTGTCAGGGACTCTTGTCATTCTCCTGTTCTGCCATCTCAGTGTTTGGTTTCTTCCTCATAGTCCAGCCATCTCTTCACATCCCCCCCCCCCCCCCCCCCCCCCCCCTGTGCTTCGGCATGGAGGACGTGTGGTTGAACCCAAGCTTGGTGAGGAGTAGGTGCTTAGTGAACATTTGCTGATGGAACACCAGTTCGTAGCACACGCTGTGTGTCTAGCGNCTTCCATTGACACCCCATTGGCCAGAACCTAATCACACGGGGCACCTAGCTGCAAGGGAGCCTGGGAATGTAACCTTTCTGGGCATTTGTGAGCCCTGCCGCAAACTGGGGCTTCTTGTACTGAGGAAGAAGGTGAGGACCGACCTTGGGGAACAGTGATCAGTCTGCTAGAGATCACGTGGCCCTACGTCTTCACCGGTTGCCTTTACTTCCGCTCATGTGTGTGTGTTTGTGTGTGCATATGTGTTTCTCTGCCTGTGTTAAATTCTAAAACCCATCTTCATATTTAGCTGAAGGGAAGCGGCCACCATAATAGCTGAGAGGCATCGAGCACATACCAAGGGCCAAACCTGATCTGTATCACTTACTCTTCACCACAGTGCTCTCAAAGTGTCCAACCAAGGAGAGTTTAGCGGGGGGATATGTCTATTTATAGACATATGGTCAGAGTTGAGGAAACCAAAAGGTCTTGCTGGAGTGCTCAGAGTTTCGCAACAGCAGGAAGTCATAACCATCCCTGAAAGGCCAAGGGGGCAGACCAGTCTCACCAGGCCAGAGCTTAGCGACATGGGAGAGAGACTACCTGCCAGGGGGTATCACTGTAGAAGGAGGCCAAGCCAGTGCCCCTGTGAGCCAGGGCGGGAATAGCCCCAGGAGGCTGACAAATACCCTGACCTGTCTCTCCTCTCACCTTGCATCTCCTGACAGTACCCCACTTTGGCTGAGGCCAAGTGGAAGGCCGAGACCGAGGGCCCCCAGGGAAAAAAGTCCACAGAAAGCAGGGTGGGGGGGAGGGCCACCTGGGTGGCTCAGTCGGTTGAGCATCTGACTCTGGATTTCGGCTCAGGTTATGATCCGAGGGTTGTGGGATGGAGCCCCGGGTTTGAGAGCTCTGCACTGAGTGAGGAGCCTGCTTAGGATTCTCTGTCTCTCCTTCTCTACCCTTCCCTTGCTCACACCCTGTCTCTTTGAAATAAGAAGGAAAAGAAGGAAGGGAGGGAGGGAGGGGGAGAGAGAGAGAAGAAAAGAAAAGGAAAAGAAAAGAAAAGAAAAAACAAGAAAAAGGTAGCCTCCTGAGGAATAGAGCAGACAAAGAAGGACAGAAAATGGCTTGGGGGACCAGGAGAGCAATAGAGAACAACCCACAAAGCATTATTACAACTCCCTTTCACAGGTAAGGAGACTGAGGCATGGAGAAGGTAAGTCACCTGCCCACCTGATAAGCCACAGCAACAGACAGCGATAGCGCCCTCCTAGCTTCAGGTCGTGAATGAGCAGGTAGAGCACAGGCAGGTGTGCCTTTCCCATCTGTCTGCACCTTATGCTGCACACAGTAGGCATCTGATCAACGGTCAGTGGATGAAATCATGGCTAGGCATATTTCGGTGATGGCGTAACCGTTTCCCCTTCATCCCCACTGCAGGTTGCCGTCCCAAACCTCAGCGAGGCCGTGCAGGATGCAGATCTACTGGTGTTTGTCATTCCTCACCAGTTCATTCACAGAATCTGTGACGAGATCACTGGCAGAGTGCCCAAGAAAGCACTGGGAATCACCCTCATCAAGGTAACGCGCCTCAGACCCCCGGCGTGGAAGCATTGCTGGACTTTGGTTACAGGGCAGTTTCACGGCCTCTCACTTTCGTCTGTTGGAAATAGGATCTGAAAGAGAGGTTATGGAAGTTCTGTGTTTTCTTGTGTTTTTTTTTTTTTTTTAAAGATGCCTAGAAGGTAATTGATAACACATTCCAGGAGGCTAGCTGAGCTCAGCATTAGGTGGGGGCTGCTCTCGGTCAAGACGGGTTTTAGAGGTGGTCGTGGTGTGAGGGCGGGCTTCTCCTGTTGAGGCTCGCTGTCAGAAAGAAGCTTCCTGTCCAGTACGTGGGTCTCTGCTTGCATTGTAGAGATCACTGGTGGTTTGTGTTGCTGGGAAATTAATCCTCATTTGTTTCCACTCCTGATTATAGTCCCCAAAGAGGGAGCTTTTAACTACATGTCCCCAAACCACCCCCCAGAGGGCCACAGACAGAATTCAGGAGGTTCACTGACTTAAATGTGGGGAGAAAAATTACGTTTTTATTCATTCTAACCTCTAACTAAAATGGGCATTCCTTTTGGTTTCAAATGCCAGCCACAAGCCAGGCTCTCCATAACAGTGCATTAGCAGGGCCTGTGGCCCCGTTGTCCATAGAAGTTGCAGGTATTTTCCTACCACTGTACAATGGCTTCCGCTATCTCAAGGTGTCATTTATGCTGATCACTACCGTGAAATCACGGTAATTGTTAAACATGCTGTATCATCTTTCTAGTTGCATTAATGAAATAGCATGTATATTGCCTTGTCACAAATCTGTGTGTATGTATTTTTTTAACATTTTGATAACTAAATTTCAACATAATTGGCTTCCTGGGTAATCTCCTGCGTTTTGCTTTCCGCATATCAGATTCCGAGAATGAGTCCATAAAACTTCACCAAACCACCAGGGGTGGGGGCCACATCATAAAAACCATAAAGAACCCTTAGAGAGGGGTGCCTGCGTGGTTCAGTAGGTTGGGCGGCCGACTTCAGCTCAGGTCATGATCTCACAGTTTGTGAGTTCCGAGTCCCAAATCGGGCTCTGTACTGACAGCTCAAAGCTTGGAGCCTGCTTTGGATTCTGTGTCCCCCCTCTCTGCTCTTCCCCTGCTCATGCTCTGTCTCTCTCTCAAAAATAAATAAACATTAAAAAAATTAAAAGAACCTCTAGAGAAACTGGGTTGTGGATGAGCGTTTATGAAAGCACATTGGAACAAGTCACACGTCAGTCATCGATAGACTGGATAAGTGAATAATGGGAATATGACATAGTGCTAGATAAGAACAAACCAGAAGATTCACGCACCCACATGGATGCATCTCTAAACTGATAATGCAGCACCAGACAGCCCAACACAGACGAATGGTATAGTTGCACTCATAGGCTTTCAAAAGCAGGCCCAATGGGCTAACGTATTTAGGGAGAGCTTTAGGTGGCAGAATGGCCAAGAACAGAAGGGAGCAGAGTGGACAGCCTTCAGGAGAGTGGCTCACCCTGGTAGGGCCGAGGTACCGGTAGTGAGAAGGGGGATGGACTTGGGAAGGGGCACACAGGACGTCAGTGGTGTAGGTCATGTTCCTGGTGGTTACACATGTTCATTTTCTTTCCGTTTTAATCTTATTCTCTTAACACTATACACACGGTGTGTACGTGACTCCTGTGAGCACTGTTTTTCATGTTGCATGTGCTGTCTGTTGCCTGAATCAACGTTACTTACAGAGTGACATGTCACACCCCTTTCATTCTATGGTTTGTCCTCCCCTGACTCGCTGACTTCCTTACAGGGCATAGACGAGGGCCCTGAGGGGCTTAAGCTCATTTCTGACATCATCCGGGAGAAGATGGGCATCGACGTCAGCGTGCTCATGGGAGCCAACATCGCCAGTGAGGTGGCAGCAGAAAAGTTCTGTGAGACCACCATCGGTGAGCTTGCTGCGGGGTTGGGGGGGGCCCGACGCCCGGTGTTACAAGACCTACGTTTTCAACTTCTGTTACTCTTTATAGTGGACTCTTGCTTGCCCCCATTGCATTCCTGCAGTGGATATTCGGCAGAGGAGGAGGAGGGGGGTTATATAAGATGTTTCAACAACCTCCAGGATGAAGTAAAGGCCAGCAGACCATTCCAACCTGCCGTGACCCAGTAATGAATTATCAGGGTTAAACACAAAAATGCAAAGTTGCTTCCACAGGCAAACAGGTGATTACATCCACCGTGGGGCTGTTCTGGCGTTAGAAAACCCAGAATTTTTAAATTCACAAATGCCAGTATCCAGATCCTCATTGGATTCCAGTGCTCAATTCGACAACACATATACCAAAAATTGGAATGATAAGAATTGGGAGGAATAGTCCTTGTTTTGGGGGGAATAGTCCAAAGACCTGGGAGTAAGTTACCTGCCCCATGGTCAGGTAACCTGTGTAGAACCCGGGCATGGACTTGGCTGTCCTGTTTGCTACAATAGAAAGCTCTTTCTACTCTTCTCCAACACTGGGGCTATGAAGATTTTCACTTCTTTTAAAAAGGGCTTTGGAATCCTTGAGGGCCCACGTACCATATTAAAGGACTCGTACAAAAGTATCAGTGCTATATTTGCAGATGCATTGCACAAGTTTAAGCTTACCTGCCACTCCAGAACTTAATTTCCACCCTCGTCAAATGTACCAGCAGTGTGAGTGATTTCTTCTTGCAGCTTCGTAAAAGGAAGCTCTGAGAGATCAGGCTCCTTTAAGTAAGATAGAATGCCTGGGAAATGACAGCTCCAGATTCTTCTACATGTCTGCAAGTTAGGACATTGTTACTTCTTTTTCTTTCTTCTGTTTAATTGCATAGACATTGTGGGAAATAGGGCTAATCAGACAAAGAACTCACCAAAAAAAATATATATATATATATATAAAATATAATAACGTACACCTAAAACATAGGGAGGAGAGGTGCAAAGAATGGGTTCAAACTTAAATGACCATCAACTTAATATAGACTGCCGTATGCAGAGGTTATATACAAACCTAATGGCAACCATATATCAAAAACCACTAATAAACTTGCAAAGAATAAAGTTAAAGAAATCCAAATATATCACTAAACAAAATCAGTAAAACAAGAAAGAGAGAAAAACAAGAAAGGATCAGAGAAAATCTTCAGAAACAACCACAGAACAAGTAATAAAATGGCAATCAATACATATCTATCAATAATTACTTTGAATGTAAGTGGACTAAATGCTCCAGTCAAAAGACATAGGGTGTCAGAATGGATAAAAAAACAAGATCCATCTATATGTTGCCTGCATCAGTATGCACACCTAAAGCCACCTGCAGATTGAAAGTAAGGGGATGGAGCACCATCTATCATGCAGAAAGATATCAAAAGAGAGCTGGAGTAGCAATACTTAATATTGGACAAAAGAGACTTTAAAGCAAATACCGTAGGGGCCCCTGGGTGGCTCAGTTGGTTGAGCATCAGACTTTGTTTGGCTCAGGTCATTATCTCACAGTTCGTGGGTTCAAGCCCTGCGTCGGGCTATGTGCTGACAGCTGGCTCAGGGCCTGGAGCCTGCTTCGGATTCTGTGTTTCCTTCTCTCTCTCTGCCCTGCCCCTGCTCTCTCTCTCTCTTTCTCTCTCTCAAAAATAAGTAAGCTTTTAAAAAAAATTTAAAACAAACACTGTAAGGGGTTCCTGGGTGGCTTAGTTAGTTGAGCATCTGACTTCAGCTCAGGTTATGATCTTGTGGCTTGTGAATTTGAGCCCCGCATCAGGCTCACTGCTGGCAGGACAGAGCCTGCTTTGGGTCCTCCGTCCCCCTGTCTCTCTGCCCCTCCCCCACTCATGTTGTGTCTCTCAAAACATAAACATAAAAAAAACGCTGTAGGGGCACCTGGGTGGCTCAGTAGGTTAAGTGTCCAACTTCGGCTTAGGTCATGATCTTGCAGTTCATGAGTTCTAGCTTCACATGGGGCTCTGTGCTGACAGCTTTGAAAAAAATCAATAAAATTGATAAACCTCTAGCCAGACTTATCAAGACAAAAAGAGAAAGAACACAAATAAAATCACAAAATGAAAGGGGAGAAATAACAATCAACACCACAGAAATATAAATAATTAGAAGAGAATAGTATGAAAAACTATATACCAACTAGTTGGCCAACCTGGAAGAAGTGGGTCAATTCCTAGATGCATAGAAACTGTTAAAACTAAAACAGAAATAAGTAGAAAACTTGAACAGACCAACAACCAGCCAAGAAATTGAGTCAGTAATAAAAAAATTCCTGTGGGGCACCTTGGATGGCTTAGTCAGTTAAGCATCTGGCTCTTGATTTCTGCCCAGGTCATCATCTCATAATCATGAGATAAGGCCCTGCGTCGGGCTCCACACTGACAGTGTGGAGCCTGCTTAGGATTCCTTCCCTCTCTCTGCCCCTCCTCCCATGTGCTCTCACTCTCCTTCTCTCTCTCTCAAAATAAATAAAAAAAATTTTTTTTAAAAACCCACCTCCCAACAAAGTCCAGAGCCAGTTGGCTTCAGGTGAATTCTACCAAATATTTAAAGAAGAGTTGATACCTATTCTTCTTAAACTATTTCAAAAAATAGAAATGGGAGGAAAACTTCCAAATTCATTCTATGAGGCCATCATTACCATGATACCAAAACCTGATAAAGACACCACTAAAAAAGAACTACACGGGCGCCTGGGTGGCCCAGTCAGTCAAGTGTCTGACTTCAGCTCAGGTCATGATCTCACAGTTCGTGAGTTTGAGCCCCATGTTGGGCTATGTGCTGACAGCTCAGAACCTGGAGGCTGCTTCGGATTCTACCTCTCTTTGTCTCTCTCTCTCTGTTCCTCCCTACTGGGACTGCATCAAAATTAGAAGCTTCTGCACAATGAAGGAAATAATCAACAAAACTAAAAGGCAACCTACTGAATAGAAGAAGATATTTGCAAATGACATATCTGGTAAAGGGTTAGTATCCAAAATATATAAAGAACTTAGACATCTCAACACAAATAATCCAGTTGAAAAATGGGCAGACGACATGAACAGACATTTCTCCAAAGACAATCAGATGGCCAACAGACATGAAAAGATACTCAACATCACTAATCATCAGGGAAATGCAAATCAAAACTACAGTGAGCCACTACCTCACACCTGTCACAGTGAGTAAAATCAACAATACAAGAAACAATAGGTGTTGGTGAGGATGTGGAGAAAGGGGAACCCTCTTGCACCATTGGCGGGAGTGCAAACAGGTGCAGCCATTGTGGAAAACAGTACAAACCTTCCTCAGAAAGTTAAAAATAGAACTACCTCTGATCCAGCAATCTCACTGCTAGGTATTTACCTAAAGAATACAAGAATGCTAACTCAAAGGGATACATAGACCAATATTTTTATTGAGTATTATTTACAGTAGACAAGATAGGGAAGCAGCCCAAGTGTCCATTGATTGATGAGTGGGCAAAAATGTGAGATAGCTATATCTCTTTATATCTATATCTATAATGGAATGGAATATTACTCAGCCATGAGAAAGAATGAAGCTTTGCCATTTGCAACAATATGGATGGAGGTGGAGAGTATAATGCTAAGCAAAATATGTCAGAGAAAGATAAATGCCATATGATTCCACTCATGTGGAATTTAAGAGACAAAACAAGCAAAAGGAAAAAATAAGAGAGAAAGAGAGATCAAGAAACAGACTCTAATTATAGAGAACTGATGGTTAGCAGAGGGGAGGGGGTGGAATGATGGGTTATGTAGGTGATGGGGATTAGGAGGGCATTTGTGATGAGCACTGGGTGATGTATGGGAGGGTCAAATCATTATATTGTATACCTGAGACTACCATAACACTGCATGTTAACTAACTGGAATTAAAACAAAAACTTTTATTTAAAAAGTTGAAAACAATAAGAACATTCAGGAAATCTTAAGGAGTTATAGTGACGTACCCAAGATTACACAGTTAGTTATCGGCTGAGCCAAGATTTGGGTCGGGACTGTGACTCCAAGCTCATTCTCTTTAGATACCGAATAACAGGGTCCTTTTTAGTGGGTCCCCAACTCGCCAGGGACTCGGGATTACTCCTCTGAAGATACAAGGGCTCCTCTGCTCTCCGGGGCCACCTCAGGAGCACCTCTTCATGGAAGGGGGCTAGTTGCGCTCACATACAGACCCATGGGAACCCCAGCAAAGTACAGGCTAGCAGCGTGGGAAGGAGACTGTACAGTCACCCAGTCCATCTCCTGATTTACTTCCACAAGATCTCACAGGCAGAGAAGACAAGTCCTGACCCTGCTACCTACCTAACACTGCCTTACTGGGAGATACTGTGAACTTGGATGGCTGATCTCATTTATTTAGCAAATTGTTTAACAGATTTCAGCCATGTATATAAAATAGTGAGATTGGTCATTTTAAATCAAATACAGCCTGACACCGTCTGAAATAGCCAAGGATCCATCTGTCATGCAAACATCCTGCAGCCTTAATTACCAAATGGCCAACCCTTCACAGTTATCACAAGAAGCATTAAACTTCTCATATAACTTATTCTCTATGCCAACATTTTGAACGGTAAGAAATAAGGGAATAGGGTAATCTATCTTGTTGCAGGAATGGTTAATATGACAAAGGAAACACATCATATTTCCACATGCATTCGCCAGGCCGGAAACATGCTGGTCCTCCATAATAGCAATAGCATCGATTAAAAAAATAAAAAGATTGTGATTTTCCTCCTTCTTCCCAAATGGAATTCCTGCTAGCAATTTCTAAATATCCTTCCAGGAACAAAAAAAATTATACTAGTCTATATATAGGTTTTATTTCACTATTAATTCTTTTATCCACCTGTGATTTTAATGTAGCCTGAGAAATTCTGTCATTACTTTTAACAACAAATTGTTTAACTTGTTTTAACTTTAAATTGTTTAATAAAAATTTTTATTAAACAATTAATTGTTCCAGCTCAATCCTGTTTGCCAATAATAAGTTGGCAATCAGTTTTGGCGATTAGATTGATATGGAAATGTTGGAGTTCAGGAGCAAACAGTCAAGTAAGAATTCTTGAGACATGTTTGGTGCAAATAGGTGGTTTTATTAAAGCTCAGGGACAGGACCCAGGGGCAAAAGAGCTGCAACTCAGGTTGTATACTTTCAAGTTGGGAGGGGATTAGGGAGAGCATAAGTCTCTAAGGAATTTGGAAGCAAGGTTTCCAGGACCTTGAGGGGGCTAGCTGTGGTTAGGAAGAGGTCATTTATGGGGAGCATGGGTGGCTCAGTCGGTTAAGCGACTGACTTTGACTCAGGTTATGATCTTACAGTTTATGAGTTCCAGCCCCGCGTCAAGCTGTGTGCTGACAGCTCAGAGCCTGGAGCCTGCTTCGGATTCTGTGTCTCCCTCTCTTTCTACCCATCCCCTTCCCCTGCTCATGCTCTGTCTCTTTGTCTCTCTCAAAAATAAACATAAAAAAAAAGGAGAGGTCATTTACTACAACTGTATAATAAAATGTTAGTCATGAGATCCTTTAGATGTGCATCAGAGGCCATATGCTTGAAGGATGATTACTAACAGATCTTGGGAGACAGAGATAAAGAAAGTTTCCAAAGGAATTTTTTTTAATGTTTATTTATTTTGAGAGAGAGAGAGAGAGAGCAAGCTTTGAGCAGGGGAGCAGCAGAGAGAGAGGGAGACAGGGAATCCCAAGCAGCCTCTGCACTGCCCACACGCAGACAGATTAGGGGCTGGAGCCCACAAACCATGAAATCATGACCTGAGCCAAAACCAAGAGTCAGGTGCTCAACCAACAGAGCCACCCAGGAACCCCCAAAGGAATTTCTATATGTTAAAGTAGACTTCCAGGATCCTGGAAGTTGGGATACCCTTAAGCTAAGATTGCCTTTTGCCCTTAACAAAGTATCAACATCAAGGCAGCAGAGCTCCTAGAGGAAGGTCACTCTACCTGGCTTAAGGACTTGTGAATGGGACAAGTTGTAAGGAAATTTAATTTTTTCTTTTGCCTTTGTTCCCCACATTAAGTTGGTTGGAAATGGCTAGTTGCCATAATCATTCTGTAAGGCTGAGATGTCATCCCCAATCTTTGAAACCTGTCCACCTACAGATTTAGCTAGAATTTTTACATACCTCTAAGCCCTCTTCATTGTAGCAAAGCTTCTAGTTGGGTACATAGGCTCTGTTGGTTTGTAAAAACAGATGAACACACACAAAGTTATGTCTCTTTCCCTCTGGCTTCTGTTTATCCGGTGTGTCCACTGCCTTCTCTCTGGATTGGATAATGTTGGCAAGAGTGACTTGAATTAAATTAAGTAAAACATTGAAAGGAAGAGAGAACATAGAGGTGATATTGTCTAAATTGTCTTATATAACCTGAATTAACCATGAGGAAATTATCAGATAAGCCCAAAGTGAGGGCTGTGTTACAAAACAGTTGGTTTGCACTCTTCAAAAATGCCAGTGTCATGAAAGAATGAAAGGCTAAGGAGCAGTCCTGGATTAATGATGACTCGTGAGACGTGACTGCCAAATGCAGTGGGATCCTGGGCTGGGGGAGGAGAAAGGTGCCGTGGAACCCAGCCTTGCAGTCATTGGTGAGATTGGAATATAGGAGTTGTGTGTTAGATAATTGTGTCAACGTTAACTTTCCTGCATTTGATAATCTCACGGTGGCTAACCCAGATCTCCTTTCTTGATAATATTAGCAACCAACTCAGTTATGGTAGATTCAGCAGTTTTAGCCCACTTGATTCTTCTGTGGAGGAAGATGAAAAAAACCAGCCTTCTTTTCAGGATCTTGTAAAAATACCAACCGGCACGGTGAGCGGTGGTGCCCCCTGGTGGTGAGAGTTCCTTCCTTCTTGAAACTGACTTAAAACCGGAGACTTTAACTGTCAACTCACAGATATTTTTCGAAACCTATTATGTATCCAGCATCTGCTAAGTGCCAAGGATCTGTAAGCTCCTTCCGGAGCTTCCGAACACACAAGCAAATGTGGAATCACAACCTTAAAGAGGGTTTTGAAGGAGACTTCTTAAACAGGCTGGTTTTCTCTAAAACTGGGCATGAAAGAGAAAGGAGATTTCCCTGTCTTTTTGCTCATGTGGCATTGGGGGCAGCCCTTCCCAGGGCTGTGGGGGTTACCTGTTCCGGTATGGGTCCCTGCTCGCCTTATCAGCAGTTAGGACTGATGCTTTCCTATCTGTGACTTAAAATAATAATTTTTTTGAAATTACGTCCAAAAAAAGGTGGGATTGCTGTAAATCAAGCCCACCTCTCTAAGGGACGTTGTCTGTAATTTGCAGCCACAGAGGAACCGACAGACCCCACCCGTTATCAGTGGCACACAGAGCGCGCCTTTCTCCCTGCCCAGCTTGTTGTCTGTCAGATTGCTCACAACAGCTGACGGCTGGACTATAGTGACCTGGGCCAGGGGCTTGTCTGTAATGCTCACGATAGCCCTTCAGGCTGGGGGCACGGAGCAGTGGCCCATGGTGAGGGACACAAAAGGACGACTGTGATGATGTCATGATGTGGAGGCCGGGGGCACGTTTACCCAACCCAGGTGATGAAACCCCATTGCAGAGTCGCCCACGTGGTCTGCTAGACTGTTTGAAAAAGGAAGAAGACAGTTTGCTCAAACGGACACAGTTCTAATATTTGGAGAACTCAGCTAAATAATAGATAATAGCAATGCTTGTAGAATAGAGAATGTGTTTCTGAGTGTGGGGTGTAGAGGCTTTAAACATTTTATTATGGGAAATTTATTTAAACAAACAGAAGGCGGCAGAACAGTGTCATGAATGCCGTGTCTCCGCCCTCCATCTTTCAGTCTCCCCTGGATTATTTTGACATTACATTAATCACAGTGTACTCGTAATTGCCGACAGTCATCTTTTTTTTTTCTGCATTGGCAAATACCAGCTCTGTGATGTTTGTTTTTCTCTGGTTTATCTTCCTCCACCCTGCCCCCAGCCCTCAGGAAGCATAGCAAAGAGACTCAGAGCATGGGCCCTGGAGCCAGAGCACCTGGGGTAGAATTGGGCTCTGCCGCCTGTAAGCTGAGTGACCCTGGGCAAGTTGGTAAACCTCTCTGGGCCTCCTGTCTGTAAATGGGGAAAATCAGTCTTAAGCATGTGTCAGCCGTCCCCATCATTATTATATAGGACTTCTGCGTGCACTAACAGGCTGTTTTCACACCTGCTTCTTACTGAACCCCACCACAGTCCTGAGAGTCCCATACCAAGCTGGTGAACCTAGAGGCAGGCAGGGCCCACATAGGGCGGCCCTCTGTGAGCTTTCCGTCATCTCTGTGTGACTGGAGAGCCAGGACTTGGCTGCGAAGTTTATGATCTGATTTCCAGAGCCTTCCCAGAGCTGAGTCCCACAACACACCCTCACCCATTAGGGCAGATCTCACACCAGGCTTTAGGTGTGAAGCTTTAGTTTGGTTTTAGTTTTAATCCTAACTTCCTAAACAAGACGAGAAAAAGCATGAAAACTAGAGCATCCGTCCCAGTCCAGGCACTGCCCCTGGGAAGGGGACATGGCGGTAACAAAAGCAAGAACCCTTTGAATGCATTTCCATCTTCCACTGTTTAGTCCATGAAAGTAGTTGTTGGTGTCTGTGTGCATTCTCTCTTGCCATAGTGACCAAAGGCAGATCGCAGCATCTCAGTGGCATACAGATTGAGCACAGCTAATGCCCGTGGGTCCCCCTGAGTCGGCTGCTCTCAGCTGGGTGGTTCTCCGCCCCTGCGTCTTCCTGCTCTGCCCAGCACGGTAGCCAGGGGATGTTCACACCATGAAGGCAGACATACAAGGAAAGTAGCCTGACTTCTGCACAAGCCAGCTGCATGCCTCTCCTGCGTCATGTCTGCTAGTGTCCTGTTGACCACAGCGAATCACATGACCACACCCAAAGTTAAGAGGTGCGGAAATAGGTCCCGTTTGCTTTGAGTCCAAGCACTTCATGTGGTCAAGCCTGACATTAGTGGAAAGGAATGCACCCTTTTCCCCATGGAAAGGACATGGTTGGTGGTTTTGAACACGAATGTGTTGAAAGTGTGAACATAGACGTTGGTTCATAGGTGTTTGCGGTAGCAGAGAGCTGCTACGTAGTAACCATTGAGAGATGCTTAGATGAAATAGAATACACTTCCACAGTAAATGAGAAAGCTGTTTAAGATGATGTAGAAAGTATGTCAGTGAAAGTTATTCATGCCATAAAATGGAGAAAGATTATGAAGCCACATATATATTATTTTCCCAATTCTAAGAAGAACTATGTATATTCATATTTCAGGAACTTAAAGACGTATGCCAAATTGTTAATGATCGTCTGTGGTAGAATTATGGAATATTTTTATTTTCAATTCCTATGCTTCTGAATTTTTTACATTTTCTGTAATGCATATACATATCGCAGTAAGAAAAACATTTTAAACTGGGTTAGATGTAGTTAAGATTTGGCATTTTCCGTAATGGACTTTTTTTTTAACCTTTCCATAGGCAGCAAAATAATGGAGAATGGCCTTCTCTTCAAAGAACTTCTGCAGACTCCGAATTTTCGAATTACTGTGGTTGATGATGCAGACACTGTTGAACTTTGTGGTGCTCTTAAGGTAAAGTCAGCCTTACAGTAAATTTCTGCTCAAGGAGAGGAGTTAATCAAGCATCATTGAATCTAATCTTGAAGAGTGGGCTCTATGTTCGTGCCTGCCCTTCAGGGAAGAATAGTGAATTGAGAGCCTTGTGTATCACTTCCGGCTTTGACCCAGCAAAGTGGGTGGTGGGGAGTTCCTCTCCCACTGGGGTTTGCTTTCACTTGTAAATCTGGGGCAAGGGTGGTGGTTTATTCTTTGGGAAATTGGCAGCATTAATATTTAAAAAGCGTGGGAAATACCTTGATGGTGGAGCTTTACCCGAGAGCAAAGCATTCCATTAACTCATATATTTCTCTTCTATATGGTCTTGAGCCCGAAAGGGACTCCTTGCCTCTGCATTACGCTACTCCGTAGGTTTGATAGTTTGGTTAGTTGTTCTTTTTAGTAGAAAAACAGTCTGCTGCGGACCAATGTTTTTCCAAGAATGGTTTAAAATTTTTTTCAGTGTTTATTTATTTTTTGAGAGAGAAAGAGAGACAGAGCATGAGCAGAAGAGGAGCAGAGAGAGAGGGAGATGCAGAATCCAAAACAGGCTCCAGGCTCTGAGCTAGCTGTCAGCACAGAGCCCGATGTGGGGCTTGAACCCACGAACTGTGAGATCATGCCCTGAGCCGAAGTCGGACGCTTGACCGACTGAGGCACCCCCGCCCCCCCAGTCTCCACAAGCATGGCCAGGAAAGGGAAATGGTCCAACTGCAGAAGCAGCTTCTACTGGCCAGAGGCTTTGGGAGGGTGAAGGGAAGGTTTCCACATGCTCTGCCTGTAAAAGTCTTGGTCGCGGGGGCCCCCCTCTGACTTGACTCAGAGAAACAGCCAGTGGGGAGCTGGGCTGTGCTTTCTGATCCTTCTTCTCCCCCTGGAATCAACCGCTAGAGCTGCCTTTTCAAAAAAGGAAAGAAAGAAAGGAAGGAAGGAAGGAAGGAAGGAAGGAAGGAAGGAAGGAAGGAAGGAAGGAAGGAAGGAAGAGAGAGAGAGAAAGAAAGAAAGAAAGAGAAAAAGAAAGAAAGAAAGAAGAAAGATAGAAAGAAGAAAGAAAGAAGAGAAAAGAAAGAAAAAGAAAAAAGACCTTAATGTGAATGAATCCCCCCCTTGAGTCACTTTTGAATCATCTGCCTTTTCAAAAAAGGAAAGGAAGAAAGGAGAGAAAAGAAAGAAAAAGAAAAAAGACCTCAATTTGAATGAATCCCCCCCCCCCTTGAGTCACTTTTGAATCATCTCTTTTGTAACAAAAGCCACTTTTCAGGAATTTGAGCATCTCAGGAAGAAAGCCAAGCAGTCAGGCATTCATTCACCTCATGTCAGGTAAAAATGGCAAAGACCTGGCAAAGACCGAGAGAACCCTGAAGAGACAAGAAACTAAAGCATACCCCCTTTGTCTCTCATCAGAATTTAAAACCACTTCCTAGAATTAATATGGCGTGTGTTTGTGTGGTCACTTGTGGGGATTTAGGGGTGAAAGCCAGCTACAGACTGGGGCTTCCAGGCAGTCCCCGCCCCTACTTCGGAACATTCCGTGGGACATTGTTCACGGACAGGCAGGCCCTGTACACAGTGAGGACACTGCCGTTGGCCGCTTTGTTTATTTTTGTTGGTTGAGATATTTATGTGTTTTTAATAGTCCTTCATTAAGCTAATGACCACTTGACAGCAGGGGCCTCGTCAACGCCTAATTGCTCAGCCCCAGTCTGTGTTGCTCCAAAACTGTTTTTAAATGACTGGATGGTTCTGGTGGCAGATGAAGAAGCCGGGAGATCCTGCCCAGAACAAAGGGTGTTTGGGGGAGAAAAAAAAGAAAGAATCTAGATTGAGGGCTCTGGAAACGCTTCTGCTAATGGGGCCTCCTGCTGGCCTTGTGTCTGAACTTAGACTGACTTTTCATTTTTGTTGGCAGGAAGCCCGTATGTGGATCTGTGCCTGCTACCAGGGCAGACAGTGGTTCATGGGGGGCCAGACAGGTGGGGGTTGAGGGCCATGCATCATCCTTCCCCCGGCTGTCCTTTGAAGCAGGATCAGTTAACCACCATTCCTGCCAGCTTGCATCAGAGTTGGGATTTTTGAAAACCGAGAAACAGGCACTTTGGCAGTAATGGAGTCTACCCATTTGGTCACACAGATAAAGGGATCCAGAGAGAGTAAATCACTCCAACGCAGCGAATATTGGCACAGGCGGGAGTGCGGATGCGGGTTCCAAGAATCTTAGTCTGGAGCTCTTCGCTTGCGGTGCACTGCCTGACTCCTCTGGTTTGTGTCCATGAACAGAGTGAGGCCCTACTGTGTCAGAGGCCCAAAGCAAGGACAGATGGACACACATTTCTTGTGTTACATAATTAACGATGTGGAAACGTTGGGGTTCAGAGCAAACGGTCTAGGAAGAATTCGTGAGACCTCTTCGGAGCAAAAAGGTGGTTTCCTTAAAGCACAGGGACAGGACCTGCGGGCAGAAAGAGCCGCACTGGTGTTGCGAGGGGTGACTGACAGTATACTTTCAGGTTGGGAGGGGGTCAGGGATAGGAAAAGTCTCCGAGGAATTTTGGAAGCAAGGTTTCCAGCACCTTGAGGGGGCTAGCTGTGGTTAGGAAAAGGTCATTACTCCTGCCTACTGAAACCTCAGTCATGAGACCCTTTGATGTATATCAGGGGCCATATGCTTGCAGGAGGATTGCTAACATGTATTTGTGGGGTAGAGGTAAAGGAAGTTTCCAAAGGAAGTTTTGTATGTTAAAGGAGACGTAGGAGCCTGGAAATTGGGATAGTGTTAAATCGGGATAGTGTTGGGGCGCCTGGGTGGCTCAGTTGGTTAAGCGTCCAACTTCGGCTCAGGTCACGATCTCTCAGTTCATGGATTTGAGCCCCACATTGGGCTCTGTGCTGACAGCTAGCTCAGAGCCTGGAGCCTGCTTCATATTCTGTATCTCCCTCTCTCTCTCTGACCCTCTCCTGCTCTTGCTGTTTCTCTCTCTCAGAAATAAATAAAAATAAAATAAATAAATAAATCAGCATAGTGTTAAGCCAAGATTTGCCTTTTGCCCTTAGCAAAGTATTAACATCCTAGAGGAAGGCCTGCCTGACTGAAGGATCTATCAGTGGCCTGTAAGTTATAAGGAAATTTAATTTTTCCCCTTGCTTTTTTTTCCCACATCAATTAATAATTCGTTGTTTTTTCTTGATTATACAAGTAGTGCCCATTCATTGTTTCACACAACAGAAGGATGTAAAGAAAGTAAAAATCGCTAATAATCCCTACATCCCGAGAGACCACTGTTGATGTTTTTTGTATACCCTTCCTATCTTTTTAGTGAGCATACGTATGCATAGGGCCGCTTTTAAAAAACAAAACCTGGATCTTTCTGTTCAAATAGTCAAATGTTTTACTCTTTCACATTAAATTAACCATCTTTAGTGATCTCTATGCTAGCAATCAAAGAAGTGTACACTATCCCTTTGTTGTGCTCAAAAACATGACATTTGAGCTACAAAAATAAAAATTGAAAACAGCTCACTACAAAGTTAACACCAAAAAGAAAATGTAACGGTTTTATGCAAAATCATATTACCTTTACCTCTGACCTATAGTAATCTCCAGTAAGGGAATATTCTTTTGTAAGTATCAACTTTATTTAAGCATAATTCATGTACATTAAACTGTGTCCATTTAAGCACCTAATGCAGTGGGTTTTTAACAGGTGTGCATGTATGCCCTGATGATCACTGCAATACGGAACATTTCCATCATCCCCCAAGGGATTCCTTGGGTCCCTTTTCAGTCCTCACCTTGGCCAGGCAGCTGCCAATCTGCTTTTGTTAGCTACAGTTTACATTTTCTAGAACTTTTATTATAATGGAGTTGCACAGTTATCTACTCTTCTGTGCATGGCGTAATAGATGCTTTATCAGGATTGGGTTTCGTTGTTAGCAGAGATCCAAAATAATAGCGGCTGCACACCATAGAAGTGAGTTTCCTGCCTATGTAAAAATCCTCAATCTGAACGAAAGCTCCATTCCACAGAATTCTCAGGGACCCAGGCTCCTTCCAGCTCACAAGGATTGGCCCTTGTCCTCATGTTTTAGAATGGTGACCAGAGGGCACCCAGGTGGGCCCTGTCGGTGAAGTGTCCAACTCTTGGTTTTGGCTCAGGTCATGATCTCATGGTTTGTGGGATCGAGCCTCGCATCAGGTTCTGTGCTGACAGCATGGAGTGTGCTTGGGGTTCTCTCCCTTCTCTCTCTCTCTCTGCCCCTCCCTGGCTTGTGCTCTCTCTCTCTCTCTAAACAAACAAACAAACAAACAAACAATAAAAATAAAGGTGACCAGAATTCCAGCCATCACATCTGTGGGGCTGGGGGAGGTGGGGAGGGCAGTTGGGTGATAAAAAGAGAAAGAAAGGGATAAAGGACAGTGACAGCTGTCCTTTCCGGCAGGTTCTGGGAGGTCATAATGTAACAACCTGGCTTTATCTCAATGGACAGTACTTAATGTGTGACTACACCTAGCTGCAGGGGACATCGGGTCCCCTGGTTGGCCATATGTTTGCATGACAGTCAGAGACTCTGCGACTTTCGGAGGAGGAGAGTAGATGGGGAGATAAACCCCATAACCTGTGCCACCTCCTCAGGACAGTCCCTCGTAGGCTGTTCTGTAGTGAGGTGAGACACCCCTCCTGCGAGGCAGCCCAGTTTCCTCCAGGGCTTTGTCTGAGTCTAGCTGGTGGTGGTCCCTGCTGGGTCCTGCTAGCTGACCATTTACATTTACATTTGAATTAATACAAACTTTAAAAAAAGTAACAGTTCTGTTTCTGAGTCAAGGTAGCCTCATTTACATGAGGCTTTAGTGAGTCTCCGTGGCCAAGCGGCTACTCTGTTGGATGAGCAGATACAAAGCATTTGCATCATTGCAGAAATTTCTAAGGCCATTGTGCAGTCAGGGTTCTCCCTTGGGCCAAAAGCCCTAGTAGCTGGCC